CCCCGGGCACGGCTGCGCAGAGCCTCCCCGGGCGGGTGCAGGCTATCGGGCCCGTCTCGGATGCAGAGTTAGCGGGCTGCCGCGGGGGGGACGGCCTTCCGAGGGCCGGGGATGCCGCTCCCCGTAATCCCCAGAGGCGGTGGGGCTCCAAGTCTTGCCAACTCTGCCCCAAAACGGGATGGGGGAGGCAGCCCTAAAAGCCTGGATCTGGTGGGTAAAGCCAGCCCCGGCAGGCCTGAGTCCAAGCAGCCCCCTCCCCCTGCAAGCGAGCCACCGAGCGGCGGACCGGCCTTGAGTCGGGGGATTCCACCTGCAGCCCCAGCCGATTTTGCGCTGGGGGGCACCCTTGGGATTGGGGGGATGCCATGTGGGTGTTGGAGGTCTTGCCCGCTCACAAAATGGCTGCTGTGCAAGAACCTGGCCAGGTGCAAATCTCCCGCGCACCCAAAGGCCCCCCGCCTGCACAGAATCCTCCTTTCTAGCCCTCCCTCGCTCTGACCTTGCCCTGAGCTGGCAAGCACGGTCACGAAGGAAGCCACGGTCTCTCCCGTCCCCAGCTTCATTTCTCTGGGTTCCCAAATCATCGTGGGGAGCCCGGGCACTGCTGGAGGCGCATGTGCCCGCTGGCTCCCGCTTCTTTGGCGTTATCAGAACTTTCTGAATGTGCAAAAAAAGGCAAGAGACATGGAGAACCCCGGGAGGCCAACCAGGGGCTTGCAGAGACTCCGGTGGTACCTTGGGGACTGGAGGATGAGCCTGTCAAGATGGAATTAGGGGCCGTATGAAACGCCCTCCTGAGCTCCTTGGTCTCACTGCCCCATCGTGAAAGGCCATGAATCTCTGGGGAGGTGGTATCTCTTCTAGCTTTGGAGAAGGTTTAGGAGGACCACCTGAAGGTTCCCCAGCCCTCCGCAAACCAACGATAGAAGTCGCTCAAGTGGGAGAACGTTCCAGTGCATTCCTTTGTCCCCATCCCTTCAAGGGAGGTGGGATGGAGCAGGGCCAGGCTGGCTGTTCCAGATGTTCCTGCAGCTGCCGCTGCTTTCCCACTCCACCGTGTCCCTCTTTTTCCCAAGCTGGAGCCCTGCCTCAGCTGTCTTGAGCAGCCACAACGTGGAAGGGGTTCTTCCCCTTTGTTGTGAAATCTGAATCCCAGGCGTTGAATTTCCCGGCCTTGTTCTCCTGGTCTCCTCCCTTCCCAGGGCAAGGGTGGAGACCAGAACCATCTCCTCGCCAGAGATAGCTGGCCGAGCCCCGCCCTTTCTGCAAGGGTTGGGAATCCTTACAAACATTGGCTGGGTTCGCCCAACCCTCTGAGCAGTGTTCCTCAACCTCGGCAACTTGAAGACGGGTGGACTTCAACTCCCAGAATTCCCCAGCCAGCATGGCT